AAAAAAAAAAAAAAAAAAAAAAAAAAAAAAAAAAAAAAAAAAAAAAAAAAAAAAAAAAAAAACTAGGGGTTGGGAGTTGAGAGAACCCCACACAAAAGAGAGCTACATAATCAAAGCGACAGTTTCATAGAATTTTAGATTTGCATTTAAACAACTTTCCTCCTAGACTTACACAGGCTAGAGATCCACCTTATCTGGAAGACATATGGCCGTACCGAAGTCATAAGGTAGCATCAAACCCTTTGAACATAAGGGCAATGGAGAAGAATATGATCGAGTGCCCCAGGCTCTTAAAACAAAAGCGGCAGAGACAGAAGGAGATAACCCAACTTGGGAACTCCCCTTGTAACTTTTCAGCAGCATTAAGGCTTCTACATTGAAGGGACCAAGTGGAGAATTTCACTTTCTTTGGGACTTTTAACTTCCATCTATAATTCACCGGGGGGTTTTCATCTAGGCTTTCAGCTTGCTATGGTTTATAAAGGCTAACTGGTGTAGAATATTTTATTAAATGCTAGAAGCAACTCACTGGAGTTGTTAACAATGCATTTCAAACACATTGGAAATAGGTGAAAATAGTCTAGATATTTGAATTCTCAAGTTCATTGATGTGTTTATGAGACTAAAACACATGGAATAGGAATTTTAAAAAGGCCCACTTTTTACCTTGCTTGCATTACGGAGGCATAGCCAATTAGTCCTGGTTTATTATTGTAGTGGCCATTTCCAATTTTGCAATAAACTGAATTGATTATCGATCTAACATGGGCAAAAATAGTATCATTATTATTGTAGTAGCCATTTCTAACTGCTTTTCTTATTTCATCCAAATGAACATAACACTCTCCTTCGCAGATGCGTGAAGCAGAAATTACATCATTATGCCAGAGGAGAAAAGTTGAAGAGCTTGAAGCAAAACTTCATGAGGCGGAGGATGTGATAACAGATCTTAGAATACAGTTGAAAGAGGCACAATTCCAGTTGGAGAAGGAGAAAAAAGACAAAATGCAGCCTTTGGAAGGGATGATTATGAATAAAATTACTCTCTCTAGTCAGTCTATCCTTGATCCAGATTCTTCCTGTCCTTCCTCATCAGAACTGCAAACAGTGTCTTCTAATTTGAGGAACACGAAGATGGAAAAGATAGCCCATGCAATACATGATAGTGTGCCAAAGTCTGTCGAACATTCATCTGTTTCTCAAGTGGACATTGTCCACGCTCACGATTCTGACTCTTCCTCCATGGTAGTGAGAACCAAGGAGCGCAGATCATATGGGAAGAGATGCACCCAGAGAATTCGTGCATTAGAAAGGAATTACCTGGATTATAGCTTACCTCTAGGTATTGATGTAAAAGATAACCAAGTCCTTGAGGAAAAGGAACCTTTAGTAAAAAAGAAGGCCAAGGAGGAAGGAGGCCTTTCTACCAGAATTGGAAAGACAGATATAGGGAAGAGGGTGCATGGTGCTGTGTTAAAGAGATCTGTAAAGCTCCATACATTAAGAAGGACGTCTCAATTTGGAAAATGTAAAACAGGCTCTTGCAGGTTGCATGGTAGTCAACTAACAAAACCTCATCATCCATCATGCATCATTTCCCTTTGCAGGCCATATTTGAAAGATGATGACGTGAGATCTGATAATAATGAATATTCTGCACCATCTCTGATGGCTGATAGTGGGAATGTGGGAAAAAAATCTTGTTTGCCGGAGGAGCATAAAACTGACAGTTACAGCGGTGCAAGTGGAAATTCTAATGGGAGGCAACCACAAGGGAACATGAAGCGTGAGAATTTAAATGGTCACTCGCCTGACCAGCCCATCAATCCTCGTGATAAGTGTTTTTTCCTGTCCCCATGTACGACTTCCACTAATCTAGTTAATGATAACGGAAAATCTGGTGATGATCATTCCAAAACTAAGCATCAGAGCAAGATGAAGAAATTAACCTGCTTGGATCCAGGACTCACATCAACTGGAAGTTATGTCGACTCTACATCAGTACCTGCTAGTGTTACTGCCAGTATTAAGGTCAATAGTTCCGAATTTCTTGAGAATACAGCAAACAATAAGAAGGAACTGATGGCATTGTCAGTGAAACAGGAAAGTGATGAAATAAGGAATTTGATTTGTCCAAGTTTTGAGTTGAACTCTGAAATAAATCCTAATACGAAATGCGGGCAAATATGTGTAGTTACGAACTGCTCTCCTTGCCAAGTAGACAAGAAACACCTCAATTGTACTAGACAAAGCAAACGCAAGAGGGAAGCCATGGGCATTTCAGATGAAAATATTTCTCCTGAAAAGAGAAATGGAAAAAGGAGCTTGGGTGAAAAACTAAAATTTGAGCCTCAGTTTGAGAGGACTGACTTGAACAGAGAATCAACGAGGGAGAGTCGACAGCTATCTGAAGTTGCTCGTCAGGTTGGTTACAAATTCTCTTTTGCAATTTTGAACGTGTGATGAACTGGCATAAGATGTTGAGATTTTATTTAGAATGGGGAACAAAACTCAGTTGTTTTAGCCTGCAATATTTTGAATGTTTTACATGGTGAAAACTCATTTTAATGTTCTCTTAGGAACAGATGGCCGACTCCTTAATTGAGTTCAATATTTTCTTCTGGCATTAGCCCAAGTCAGCTTTTTGATTACGAATGTTAATCATTCTGTTGTTCACTTATGAATTTCAACCAGGAAAAGGAAAACATCTCACTTTATTTTCGAACTGTTTTTAGGAGGTAGTTGGTTTATGGGGTTGGGAACTCTGAGTTTCTATGATTTATTTTAGATTATGCAAGGAATGAGTTTTAGAAGTTTATTTGTTTAGCTTCTGGGTTTGCATTTATGGAAGCTAGTGTATAATCAATACAGTTAGTGGACCAACTAAGTAAGTAGAAGATTGGAATAAAAAAATCTACTGACCAAATATAAATTTGTGTACAAAAGGCAATCCAACGGATCCAACATCCTTACCCTAAACACCCCTTGAGAGTTTAGTTTAGTTTTTAACATTCAACTAGAATAGGTTTGAAACAACTTGTACCATTGAATTCTTTTTCTACTATTTATTTAGTAAGACTCTAGTGCTGGTTATGTTACTTGCAAATTGCATATACTTGATGAGGTTCTGTCCATATACTCATCATTTGGTTGGTTCAGATCCTAAGTGCTTGGTTACAATTTTCTGTAACTTCCTACTTTTTTTTCCCGCAGCTCATATCTCTGTCTAGAGAAAGATGGTAGTAATAGTGGTGATTTCTTTTCGGCCCTCAACACAATCAGAACCTGGATATGATTGGTCATCCAACACGTCGGTTCTCCTCACAGTTCTTCAGAATTTACTTTTCCAAGGAATCCACAGGTTGGTGTTTAGCTTCACATAGTTTGTAGCTTGCTTTCTAATGTTTAGTTTAATTTATTGAAAAAGAAAAAATCAATAACAAAAAGCATCAGGAATATCTTCAGCTTCAATGTGATGATGGTGTGAAATGATACAAGTAGGGTCATTTTGTGATGATCTATGTAACTCAACATGTTTTGAAGCAAGCATGCCTTCGAATTTTTATTTCTACTTTTTTGCATTTTTGTTCTATCATCATCGACTATGCATTGACATTACACTGCTTTTTTCACTGATGAAAGGTGAGAGACCTTTTAGTACCAAAATGAAAGAAGTGAGATCTTTTGCAGGTGTTTTTCACTTTCCCAGACACATCGGATTCTTTGTATAGCTTTTTCCACTCTGTTATTTTCTTACAAGATTTGGTTGAGAACGAGATTTCTGATATGATAAACTTTACAAGGACTATTTTATCTCCAAAATGAAATTTGAAGAAAATTAGAAATATTACACAAAATATTGACAGTGAAATTAGTTGAGGTGCACACAAGATAGCTCACACACTCATCCATATAAAAAAAATCTTATGATAATGATGTATGCCTTATTGAATTTTTATTGGTCGGAGTATTTGTTGACATTAATGTTTTTTCTTCCAAGGTGAGGAGCCAAAGGAGGAAAACTGATGCTAACACCAAGGAAGACTTGTTTGGTAATGAACAGATACATATCCAAGTCATATTTAATATTCATTATTTTTATTTATAAATTATAAGGGACCAAATATATAGTTAAATTAAGTATTTGTTAGAACACCTTTCAACTTGTTGCGAGAAATGCTCTTTATGTCTTCCGTTTCATTTTTTGGTTAAATAGTTTCATTTATTCTATCATTCCTTGGTAATTTCAATGGCCACACACACACACACACATTTTTTTAAATAAATCAAATATATATTTTTTGGACACAATTCTTTATATAAAAAAGGCTACTAGAAGTAGCTCTCTCCTATTCCCAACGAAGCTAAGAACACATGAATTAGGCATCCGAGAAAGACAAGGAATGAGCACGCCAGGACCCAACATGAGCACATCCATTACTTCGATCCTAACTCCTAATCCTATGTTGGAGCAATCATAAACTAAACCCAATAGAAAATATAAAAAAAAAAAGAAAAGGGAGTGAGAGTTGCAGGCTTTAGCATAGCTATGTCTTCTTGTCTTCCCGAGCAGCTGCACCTTGTCCCTTTGATATCATTAAAGCCTGCTGCTTCCAACGTTGGCCCACACCCACCCCACACAACCCAACAAATTCAAACCAATTCCTTTCCCACCATATAAACAAACACAGCAGGATTTGAGTGTTCAAATTTTTGAGTAGAAATCATCAAACATGTGGAGGGCGGAGGAAGGTTGCAGGGAATCGAAGCAAGGAGAGGTTGAAGATAAAGATTGTACAAGCAGAGGTGTGTTGTCAGCTGGAACGGCATTGTTAATGGCAGCTTGTTTGAAGAGAGCTGTGGTTCTGTTCTTCTTGGTTGAGCAATGGCGGATCTGGGTGTTCCTTGCGTTGAATCTCATCCTTGTAACAATCTTCTTCACTTCCAGTCCTGCAAGTTACAGTGAAAGCCAAACCCAAGAGCCGACGAAGAAGAAGAAGATTAGAAGCAGCGAGCCTGAAAAAGTGGAAGAAGTTGAGATCAAACAGCAGGAGATGGATAAAGAAGAGGAAATTGAAGAAGATGAAGAAGAAGAGGTAATTGGGTTGTCGAAAGAGGAGTTGAATGAGAGAGTTGAAGCTTTCATTGTGATGTTCAAGAAGCAATTGATTTCAGATGCGAGAAAAGTGGGAAGTAGACGAACCCCATTGAGCTATAAGACTCAATAGCCAAATTTGGAGGGAAAGACCGACCACTATCTCAGCGATGCCTTAACCTTTGACCTAACCGTTACCCATTTTGCAACAACGAAGGAGGACATTGAAAGACTACCGAAGCCAAATGAAAATGAATCCTTTTCTTTTCCCTTCGGTCTAAGCTTTTGGGATTGGAATGGAGGACGAAAATGAAAATGAAATGAAGATGTTCTTTAGTTATTTAGCGAGGTTAAAAAAAATGTAACCTTAAAGCATAACTTCGAAATATATGAGCAAATATGATTTTAGCACTCATCCTAAGTTTTTTTTTTTTGTTCTTTTTTTTTGTTCGTATGGATCGTTTTCATTCATTCTCTTGCTCATCGATATAGGTGCAACATGTTTCTTTGTAATTATAGGTACAAAGTCGATAACAAAATTCAAAGGTGGAAGTTCTTTTCGTAGAAGGATGGTTGAAAATATAGCATACTCAACCAACATATTAGCAAACCTTAGAACTATTTGCAAATCCGGCAAAATTTAAGCGAACCCATGTGAAAAGACTAAAAACTCCTTCTACTCCTTCTATCACTCCGTTGATAAACTACAAATGGGAGTAAAGTCTATAAGTGATAGAGGTGAAAAATTTCATAGAGAGTTACGTTATTACATCTTCTATTAACGACCATCATCTAACTAGAGATTGACTCATAACCGCGAAATATTTGAATTTTTGATCTTATAGTTAAAATCATTAATTAAATGGGGAGGATGATGAAACTAATATTAACCAAAGATGACGTCAAAATAATCTAATGTATCGACCCCAAAAACATATGGACAACGGTTATGCAAAGTAAAATTTTATCCTTAAAAAGAATTTCTAAAGATATGTTTGTTCCTCCCTATCTCTAATATACTTTTTTAGTTAGTTAATTTTTATTTATTTATTTTTAGCAATTTTGAGGAGATAATGATAATGACTATAAGTCAAAACCACAGGATTGGAAGGGGGGCTTTTACGTAGTATCAGCAATTAATAGGGGGGCGAATGCCACGCTGGCAATCGTTTTTCTGTTGGTTTCTCTGATGTCTTTTTCCGCCCTTTCGTATACAACAATTTCCCCGTCCTCTTCTTCCAACAGAAAGTCCAAACCCTAGAGAGAGAGAGAGAGAGAGAGAGAGAAAAACCGTTCTCCAAGGGATTCTAATACTTCTCTTCATACATTAAAATTGATGAGAAAGATGCAGAATTAGAATCGAAGTTTTTGGATTCTGTTCACGGACATTCACGAATGTGTGCGCTATAATGCGGGACTTGATTTGGAGTCCCTGATTTTTGTGAAATCCGTCAAGCCAACCGACTTTTTTGTGGGATTTGATTTTTGCCAAATGATTCTGTGATCTCACATTGAAATTTGTTTTCGATCGGATTCGAATTTGAGAATCTGAATTCCATTCTACGAGAATCGAAGCGGTGGGGGGTTTCATTTGAATCCGTGAATGGTTTCGAATCCAGATCTTGTGTTCTATGCCTGCATTGCAAGAGGAACTGTAATCCTTGCTGAATTCAATCGAGAGCCGAATCTCAATGATTTGGCTTTCAGATGCATCGAGAAAGCTCCTCCTCATCACTCAACCTTCTCTCATACCGTTAGAAACAGAGTGTACACCTTTTTGATCGAAGGTCCCTTCGTTTATTTTGGAATCTTCCATGAGGACCTTTTCAGATCGGAGGTTTGTGGTTTCTTAAACCGCTTAAGGCGAGCTTTCGAGGACTTCATCGAAAGCGAATTACGCAAGGGTTTCGAGAATTTCACTTCTAATTGCTTTCAATCGCAGTTCGATTCGATTTTCCGGCGTATCCTAACGTCGAATCAGGACCAGACGTCGTCGGGCTTGGATTCAGATAAAAGAAAGAAGACATCGCTTATTTCGAAGTTCTCGAAACCCTGTAGCCTAATGAAGAAGAAGAAGAAAGTGGTTGGAGATGCTAATAGCGAAGAGGGAAAATACGCATCAACTGTGGATGATTCTGTGGATCTGTATGACGATAACAATGGCTTATGCAGTAGAGATATCACATTGCTGATGCAAAAGAATGGTTCATATGAGCGTCAGAAAGCAAAGCAAATATGGCGGAAGCATGTTTGGGTTGTTCTGTCCATCGACTTGTTTGTATGTCTGGTTTTGTTCGCCATATGGCTTTGGGTTTGCAGTGGATTTCAGTGCATTGAGAGCTGAAATCCTGCTGAGTTTTTATGGGTTTCAATCCTTGATTGGCAGCAATGGCCATTGGAATGGATAATCACTGATGGTTAAAACGGAGACGATTGCTTCACGAAGAAAGCGGTGGTGATGATTCACGTAAGCTTCAAGTTATTTTTTACTTTGCTGGTAAATATTTATGGGTTTCTTGATTTCTTTTCATACACATCATGTACGATTCTCAAAATTGACAAAAACAAATCAATGGAGTTCAGTTTATACGAATGAAAATAAAGATGGTCTCTGTTTTGGTCATTTCTCACACCTTCAATCTGAACATGAAATTGGGATTCTGTCAACGAAGATATCATCTAAACTTGCTTGGAAACGATTCTTGAATGAATGCTTCTTCAGTTCGTGAAAAGTTGTTCTATTTATTTAAGGATTAAATTACATATCAAGTCCTACTGAAACTTGCAATAAAATAAAACATCTCAACATCTCCCATTCGTGTTGGAGATGGGAGTTCATTAAGAATTCACCTATCCACATGTCACTATCACATTATCTTCAAGGGTAGGATGTCATTGTCACATTGTCTTCAAGGGCATTTTAGGAATGAGATATGATTGGATGTTGACTTTGCAATCAATGGAAAATTTATCTGGTTTGTTGAATGATAACGAACTAAAGGTAGGTAGCACCGTACAGAAGTTATCATCCATCCTACGATAAGAAACAATCAAACTACACCCCAACTCTACTTTCAACCTCTCATGAACAAGGATTCCGTTACATGGTATAATAATCGGATCTCGAATCCATAGAACTTCGGAATCTCTGGTTACAGTTCCTCCTACCCACAGGGCGTAAGCTTCTTATTGCCTGCACCTCGAGGATTGTCGTCTTTCCAGTCATCCCATGCTCTGGCCTTCTCCTGGGCAGCATCATCGTCTTCGTCATCGGCATCCTCACTTTGCCCTGGTTTTCGAGTTTCATCCTTATACCATGCGGAGTTTGCTTCTTCTATGAACTTAGCAGTCCTCTCTTGCCATTTGTTCATCATTTCCATCTCCCTCAGCCCTGCGTCCTCGATGCTCATGGTTGGCATCCTTTCCACACAAAATTTCAACCCATAAATTATCCATGTGTATCATACAACTCCGAATCATAACTTGCTTTCAATGTTTTTCAACTTTCTGGAGGAAAGATATGAATCCTTAGACAATTTCAAAAACAAAACTTTTTAAAAACTACATACCTAAAGCCAGGTTGGAAAACCTGGGCAGCCAACCTCTCCCTCTCACTCGTAAGGGGTCCACTTACAAGACTTGCTGGTCCAAATATGAGAGGCTGATGTTTGTGATCATGTGTTTCAGACACATTTGCTCTCCCTTCTAAAACATCCCGAGCAAACGTTGCACAAGTGATTGGTGGCGCTGGTTTTGAATATCTTGCTCTCACGACCCCGTCACGATGCCAATCTTCTGCTCTTTTCATACGATCATCAAGAATCTCTCTAGATAAGTTCTTGTCCCCATCCTGACATATATAGCAAAGAACAGTTGCTCTTAGAATTCTAACAAGAAAACATAAAAGAGAATTCATCTATTTGACATATCATGGCTCCGATTAATGATAGAGAGCGAATGACGTAAACAGCGCACGAAATGCTTTAAGCATGCTCGCACAAAGTCTGGAATGTAGCTTCTTACCTTTTCTTGTATTTCCTTGATGGAAGAGAGCATCTCTTCCTCCTCCTTCAGCATCTCTAGTAGATCAAAAGCCTGAATATATAGCATTCCAGGAAAATTTGAGTACAATCCTAGAGAGCAACAACCTGGAGATGTTAAATAATTCTGCATAACTGACCTTGCAGATAGCCAAAGTGATGGTCGTAAGCCAAGCCTACAGCAAAGAAAGAACACAATGTAATTAACAACGACTAAGAAAAAACATAAAAAAGCCTATAGAAAGATTCAAAAGAGGAACGGCAAACGTTCAAAATATTTCACACCCTAGAACAGGCAATGTGACAGAAAATAGAGAGAAATGGAATACTACTGCTATATGATTTTAAAAAAAAATAACCTCTCGCTCTTCCTCTCCATCATCTTCCAGCACATCCTCCTCTCCAGCCTCTATAGGAGCAGACAAAGCAGATGCTTTGCTTGAACGCCCACGGCGCTCTTTTCGCTCCTTTATCTCAAGTAACTTTGACTCAGCAGCCTTTTGACGTTTGAACCTTGCAATCTACAAACAAACATTAAGAAATAAGTTCAAGAATGGAACTGCAGTTCCATCCACAATATTAAGAAACATCTCATATTATGCAAGAATTGATGATTTAAAATCTGTGTCATGACATCAAAAACCAGTCACCCCATCATAATTAATAATTGCTCCCCCATCTCCGGCAGAAAAAAAAAAATCTCAAAATGTGATGCGGGTATACGTACTTTCCGAGCCCTTCGATCTGCAAGGGAATTTCCTTCAGTAGATGTTTCGAGTTCCTCTTTTGGCACCAGTTCCATAGTTTCACAAAATGCTATGAACTCCTAAATAGATGTCAATTATTCGTATTTTAAAAAGTTAATGATGAAGCCTTAAAATAATAAGATCAAATTTTATTATTATTCCACACATATTTCTTTTTACCATGAAACATGAGCTTCGGAAATTACTCAGATGTGAAATAGTAGACAGCACTAACCTTTAATTTTGCCTGGGAAGCCTTAAGGATCTCTATCCTGTCATCTTGTGCAATCTTCTCAGTCAACTCAGCAAGATAAAATGGCACCTACAGGAAACAACTATCAGAAATAAAATATATGGATTTTCTGGTGACTGTAGAAAAGGCCGTTAAAACTATCCATTTCAAAGAAATATCAATCATAAATAACATATTTCGAACCCTATGCGTTAATGAAGTTATAAACGATGGTGAAATATATTTGCAAAGAGTTGTCTAGCTAGGATAAAAGATAGTAGCATGGGAGATATCGGGAAGGTTTGGTTGGTAAAACATTGGTCTTGAGATTTCTATTTGTGGGGCACTGTATACTAAAAGCTTCTACGATAAGCAAGTGAATGGGCGCGGTGCGTGGCGAAATGAATAGATGGTACTGAAACTTTCCACTCTTTATAGCTTAAATAAAACAGAGCATCAATCTTAAGTGCAAAGCCAGAAGCCTAATCTCTTTTCTTTCACTCGGTACAACTTCAAAATCGGAGTAAGTAGCCTCATTTGTAGCCAACAAAAGACATGCCTACTAGAGATAGGAAATGAAAAAATAATGAGTCATAATAAAATAATCTCCCCAATACTATGATAGGAAATTAAAGAAATATCAGTAAAACTATACCTAATATGAACAGTCTTCTTCGCATATCTAATTAAAAAAGAGGTATAATCTATACCAAATTATCAACCACAAAACCATTTCGATCCCTCCTCCTATATCCTTCATCTTTCATACATACTGAAACGGAATGACTTTCTGAAGTGTTTTGGAGCATTCAGAAACTCAAGTAGGCCTTCACTATCGCTGTGGAAGAACTACAAAGTAGCACTACAACGAATCAGCAACACAACAAAGTCTATGCTGATAAGCTCTTCTGATTAAACCGTCGGTCACCATTTTACTAATGTTATTATAATTATGATGAGGTAACCCTTGAATACAAAAAGCTAAAGAAAAAATTAAAATAAGAACTTACCATAATATATTTCAGATTTCCGGTGCTGATATCCTCCTTAGTCTCGTTAACTGAGAACAAGCCCAACTTCCCAATCATATCCTCGCACTTCCGTAATGCTTCACAACCCTTCCTCACACCATCCTAAATTTCCCAAAACGGAAGAGAAAATAAAAACCACCAAAATACACAAACCCATCGAAGGAATTCAAAGGTACAGTAAGGGTACCTGATCCGACGCAGACTCAGTTGCTGCGTCATAAATCTTCCTCGCTTGTTCGAAAATTGACGGAAGAGGCAGGTCCTCCATTTATTGTAATCTCGCAGAGCAGACCCTAATAACCGCCTAAAAATGGATGGAAGATGAATTCACATGAAAACTCCGGGAATCAGAATTCGAATCCCTAGGTTTTGTCGATGAGAAATTGGAAGGAATCAGTTTTGAGATAGAGAAATGGAAGAACAACGGCGATCAGAGTTCGACTTTTCGAGTCTCCGTTGCGGCGTACGGTGATGTCTAGATGTTTAGGATTCGGTGTTGACACGTACACAAGAGGTTATAGTGTGGTCTGTGTCCAGATCATGCCACGTCAGTAAATTACAAGGATGGTAGAAGCTAGAAGGCTTTTCACATCACTCGAAACCAGGGTAGGCTTTTAAATTTGGACTGAGCCGTGAGCCCAATGAAGGGAAGATCCATAAATAATTGGCCCAATAAGAATTTCACAGATGGGCTTTTAAAGTTGGAATGGACCGTGAGCCCAATGAAGAAAAGATCCATAAAAAGTGGGCACAATAAGAATGTATACGAGTGGCCTTTTAAATTTGGAATGGGCTGAGAGCCCATTGAAGGGAAGATCATAAATAATTGGCCCAATAAGAATTTTACGGATGGGCTATTAAGTTTGGAATGGGCCGCGAGCCCAAGAAGGGAAGAATAAATAATTAGCCCAATAAGAATTTCACGGGTGGGCTTTTAAATGGAATGGGCCGTGAGCCCAATGAAGGGAAGTTCATAAATAACTGGCCCAATAAGAATTTCACGGGTGGGCTTCTAAGTTTGGAATGGGCCGCGAGGCCTATGAAGGTAAGATCCTTAAACAGTCTGCCGAATAAGCAATTATACGGGTGGGCTTTTAAATTTGGAATGGGCCGCGAGCCCAATGGAGTGAAGATCCATAAACAGTTGGTCCAATAAGCAATTATACGGTTGAGCGTTTAAATTTGTAATGGGCCGCGAGCCCAATGGAGTGAAGATCCATAAACAGGTGGTCCAATAAGCAATTATACGGTTGAGCGTTTAAATTTGGAATGGGCCGAGAGCCCAATGAAGGGAAGATCCATAAACAGGTTGCCCAATAAACATTGGATATAATCGGTACAATAAGCATTTCATACGGGTGGGCTTTTGAATTTGGCGTGGGCCGTGAGCCCAATGAAGGGAAGCTCCATAAATAATTGACCCAATAAGTATTTCATATAATGGGCCCAATAAACATTTCATACGAGTGGGCTTTTATATTTTGCGTGGGCCGTGAGCCCAATAAAGGGAAAATCCATAAATAATGGGCCCAATAAGCATTTCGTACGGGCGGGCTTTTAGATCAAAAAGTAGATTAACATTGATTAATTAAATTTATAAAAGCAAAGAAATACAAAGACCACCTTGTATTCCTATATTGGACATACATGCATGCATTCTAGACATCCTAGGCACATCCTTTTAGGGTATTCATATATAAAGAAATAAAATTCAGTAATCTTAAAAAAATACAAAGACCCCCTTGTGTATTCCTATATTGGACTAGATAAAAAATTTTAGATGAAGAGCTAAACTTGTAATTATTCGAGTGATTCTGGACAAAGAGATCAAATTCCATGAAATAAAGAACTAATGCTAAAAAGAGATTTATAAAGAACCCAAGGCAAGATTGAATCTAAGTAAAAGAGACTATTAGGCCAAAAGGCTCAAAAGCATTCTTGATCGGGGTCGTTTGGACCCTTATATTGCAAAACAATTAAGAACTTAAACTAGCATAAGTGAATCAATTTAGGTATACTAGATATCCTATGGACTAATATTTTTGGAACAAAACATAAGATAGGGTTTAAATTGATACACTTATCTAAATTTAGAACTTAAACTGATACCATTATTAGTTTATTTGATATTGGAAGTATAAATTAATTTTTGCAAAGATAAAGATAAGGAATAGACTATCATTTAACAAATTTTCAAAAATATAATGATACTAATTATTCTTACAAGAAATAATTTTTTTTTTTCTTTTTTAGTCATCCTATCTTTAAGATCGCTCTTATTCAAATGTGATATCGATTCGTTCATGCACCCTTTATTGACTCGGGTATCACATTCTTTCACTAATTTCAAGTTGCACATTCTATTACCAAAAGATTTTGAAAGGCACATTTTGTTACTAGCTTTTTTCACATGTATACTTATTCTTATTGTTATTATTCTCAAAGTAAGGTCATTGTCAGGTGCAAGGCTGATTGAACTTAAAATAGAAAGAGAATGAACCTGAAGCAGGAATGAAACAACATATGAACCTAATATGAGAGGTGGAAAAGTGAGAGAATTATGCTAAGTACAAAAGAAGAAGCTAGGTAGCACGTCGTGGGGAAATGGCAAGAGGCAAGAGGCATGAGGCATGATGCATGAGGCATGGGGTGAGGAGGTGGAGGGTGCCTTTTTAAAGCCCTCACTGCCATCGACTTAAAAAAACTGAGATAAGATAGATTCTTTCGTGCACATAGGAAGAAAGTGGTGGAACCACTTCCTCACTATATCCTTCTCCTTATTACTGTTCTAAGCCACTTACCCCATATCATTTCTAGGGCCCTCCCCCTCCTCGCTTGCTCTCCATTTTTTTCGTCTTTGTTCGTCTTTGTGGAGACCACGCTTTGAATGAGATGGGGAATCTTCGTTCTAGATGGCGATGATGATCGAGACGTCAAAAATCTCTTTCTTTGATTTTTTTTGAACAATATTCTTATTCGATTCCTGTAATTTATCAAACTCTGTTATCATGTTTAAAATTTGTTGCTTGTTATGATCGAAATCTAATCTCTCGAGTAATATCGAAAGTAAATGGTTGAATTTGGGCAGCTTTAAAATGATGGGGGGATGAGAGAATAAAGTAAAGGGAAATATATAGATCCTAAACAAAATCCCATATCCAAAAACATGGAAACAAAAGGAGTGTGCGTGGTTAAATCACTTCATTCTTTATGCTGAGAAATAATATGGCATTGGTAACCAGCTGTGTGGTCCTTATGATATCGACCACATTGTTGAAGATGGTTGTACAAATGTATTATCTTTTCATACTCTCACTTCCCTTCCTTGAAAGCTATTTTTCCTTCACCTCCCACCTCCAACATCTCACATCCATCTTCTTCCAACATATTTAAGTTTTTATATTATTAATAATAAAGGGTAAAGGATGAGAAATGCCGTCAAACAAAATTGGTTTATAACATGTGTTGTTGCGACACTCGAGTAAATGATGTGTACATGAATGAACTGAGTCACCTCCCAATGAGAATGATCTTGAGGATTGTATGGCTAAGAAAGGCTTAAAGGAAATGAAAGTTAGTATCTACACTAACAAGATGCACCTTGGTTCTCGATGGTTAGGTGACATCTTAGGAATTTTCCTTTGATGCATTTTAGTGAGGACAAAACATGCTGGAATGATTCGTGTTGGTCTGTGGAGATAATCTTCACTCTTAAGAAGCGAGAAATAGGTTACGTGACTATGTCGCAGGAGATGTAGAAGGATGTCGAGACCATCAGGTGCTGAATCGCATGGGGCATGGCCATACAACGAAGAATTATTCTCAATCAAATCGACTAAAAAAAAAAAAAAAAACTTTGGAGCGTCTAAGATTGAATCATTAAAAAGAAATGTGCATATTATTAAGTAATTATCCATTTTGTAAGAACTTCTTAGCATTGTCTTAAGTAGTGTGAGATCCCACTTCGATTAGAGAGAACAAAACATTCCTTATAAGAGAATGGAAGCCTCTCTGTATCAAACATATTTTAAAAACTTTGAGGCGAACCCCGAGTGGAAAAGCTCAAAGCAGTAGACTTGGGTTGTTACTCAGTCTAAAAATCCTCCTCGGTTGGGATGTTGAATTGGGCATGTTGTTCTTCCTTGTGAGGGTTAGTTGTGCTCATTTCTTGTGCATGCTCGAGTAATTGGCTCGATATTTCTTAGGATAAAAGTGTGTTAAACTAGAAAATGTCGAATGAAATATTTAACGACTAAACTTGTAATTTAACTCAATATGAGCGAAAGATTCGCTCTACCAACACTTAGCTACTTTTAAAATGATTAGAGCATAATTAAAATCAAACTTTCATAATTGAGGAATGAATATAATTCAACCTAAAAAAAAAAAAAAAAAAAAAAAAAGAAGCAAATTTATCTTTCTCCATAGATCTATGAAGATATGATCCTCATAGCCAAATCCAATCCCTGGGTGGTGGAGTTGTGAAGTTCACGTGAGACTGTCCCTTTGGCTGTTGCTTTCTGCAACCCTGGGGTTTGTTCCTTTGATACTCAAAAAGTCAACACACATGGCTATCCACTTACATCCCCTTCCATTGGCCACCACACCCTTTTCCTCAATTCACTATTTCCCCTCTCAAAACATCAAACTTAAAATGAGATGGGTTCGTTTCCAGATTCAAATGGACTGGACTCATATCTGTTCTTCCAAATTTAACACCATCCATCCTCCAACAGCCCTTTCGAATAAGGGCTAACCAGATGCCCTTTCCACTTTTCAAATTCTCTCTCTTTTGCTCTCTTTATTTCTTTGATTCCTTCTGTTTTGTGCTCTCATTCATTTCATTTCATGTTTATTATACCCATAATAAGCTTAAGCATTCATTAGTGTACCTAAATTAATTAATGGTAGGGCATGGACATGGACATGGACCTCTCTTAGCTACCAAGCTTGTTCTACGTACTGTTCATAACATATTTGTAAAGCAAAAACAAAAGTAAAAAAGATGGGGTTTTTCCCCAAGTAGATCCCTCAATGTTCCTTAAAAATAGATCACAAAGATATTACATATAATCTTCCATCTCACAACATGAGACCATGTACATTTAATCATCATCTCACAACTCCAAATAAAACTTCCTCTTTTTCTTTTTTGCTTTTCCTTTTCCTTTTTGGGTTCTTTCAAAAAGAAACCAAAGATTAACGCGCCAAACATTGTTCCATAATTAACTTTTAGATGCCTTCACATGTAGGCCTACGCCCCAGCCTAGGGTAACAAAATTGTAATTATATGGTGGAGATGGATAGATTAAATTGGGTTGGTTGAGTTAGTAGTCTAGTTCCACATATTGCTATGTTCGAGTGTAGGTGTTTTGAATTGGTCGTGTGGGCTAAGGCCGGGATACACCCTTAAATTCACGTATTAGAGTGGTATCATGTGATAAAACTCTAACGATAAAACGCTACCAAATAATATCCATTTTAGGAATGTTTCATTCTT